AGAGATACGACTGCAGAGAGAGATATGACTGCAGAGACTGAAGACTGAGACGGACTGGGACGAGGACAAGGCCCATGGTACGGCGCGTACGAAGCAAAGGTGTTGGCGGTATCGGTTTGGCCGGAAGGAATGCGAGAGAGTAAGTGAAGGAGCAGCACCTGGCGCGATAAGAGGCCGCCTTGAGTGATTAGGAGGCGATGGTATGTAAAGTTATAAATATTTACATTGCGCTTACGAGATATTGCCCTTTCTTCCGCCCACGCCCACTCAGTGCATGGCTATGAGCACTCGTTCGTAAGTCCTGGTTACGGCCTCTCCTGAGCGAGAACTTACCCTTTAGCGTGCAAACCCTTGCAGAAAATTGATAACAGTCCATTAGCAGAACAGGAAATATAAAAAGGTTACGAAACTTAAAAGCGGGAGCGAGAAACGTGATCTTCCCATTTCTTAGCGAAGATCTCACAAAGTGCGAGCGGGTAAATTGAGCAAGGTTTACGTCACGTTGCCCCAAATAACTCGCACGCCCAATCAACTTTTTTCTTCCTTTCCTCCGTATCCTCGTAATTCATCTCTCCTCCTCATCCGTTTTACTTCCTTATTTGTTCTTCTCCTTTGCTCTCCCTGACTCCGTGTTCTACCACGTGATGTCTAACGACCGATGTCTTTGTTTCGGCGAAAGTCAGAGAGGCGCTCAAAAGGGACAGGCAGAATGAGCAGTGCGTGATGCGATGTGGACCTGTCATCGTGACGTCAGCACCATCACCGGAGTGGCTCACGCAATTTCTGCAACCAACACACTCAGCACACTCGCCTGCGCACGCACGCGAGAACAAGGCATCATCCCGGACATGCAACTTCAAGAAGTCAATTCCGGGACCATCAAAAGGTCGTCCGGAATCGTAAACATATCGAACGGATTTGGACAAGGAAAACCCGCCTAAATTCTAAATGATGATAGGGGAATTTTTAGAGGAAAAAAACAACACTTGTGCCATTAACAGAGCTAACACACTTAACATACAGCGACGCAAGGCAACAAACAAATAAAGAAGAGAAAACTCCCAGCCGGCACGGGTCACCCGGACGCCCCGCCGCTGGTACCACGTGTGTGCGCCCCGCCGCCCCACCCCTGCCTCTCCCTCTCTTCCATTACTGATTGCAACCAACCACCCGAGCTCTCTTCCTTCCCCCTCAACCCCCACCTAATTCACTCTGGGCCATGGCACTATCGCCCATTCTTATCTCCAATTTATCGAGATAACATCGGAATTTACTCTCGTCACTCCCAGAGCTGCGAGTGATATCAACACTTTCCCACATCACAAACGTATACAATTTAACCGTCGTGCGGCCACGAACCACCGTGCCAGCCAGGCGAACGCGCACCAATTAAACCGTTCGTAGCTGCACCGTGGATAAAAAATATATACGTCTAGCCTTCTCGGTGTCAGGCGTTGACGCTGAATAATCGATTTCGGGGTTATGGCAGGTCACGGAGGGTCAGGATCAGGTTCTCGCCCCTTCCCTCCTGCCTGAAATACAACTGCGTCTCAGGATTATTCTAGCCAAAGCCCAAGATGTATAAGCCTACCGTCGGTCTGTCCACCAGCTGCCATTCACGCATCTCACGCGGGAGTTCATTCGTTATCGTCAAAGTAATCTGAAAGACCAGCGTAGACCTAACCATTTTACATCATCTTTATATTTTCCTTTGTCTGTAAAGACCATGTACAAACTTTTTAAAAGTTTATCTCCAAAGTCCATAATTGAAGCATTGTCTTTCGCCAGGAAACTGCACACAGCTAAGTTCTTAACCACACACGAGCACACACACACACACACACACACACACACACACACACACACACACACACACACACACACACACACACACACACACACACACACACACACACACAGTATAGTCTGCCCCTCAGCATGACCGTGAGGCGCCGACCCGAGGTAAACCACAGGGAAAAAATGTTCGGGGGTCTCTTGTTCATTACCGCAAGGAAATAATATTTGCTCGGGAATATCCGGAATAAAATAACACTCCCTTCCCGCAGGCGACGCCAATGAGTTTCACCGCGCTCGGAATAAATATGTTGCCGTGACATGGATAATTTACATTACTAAAATAACACGCACACACACACATATGCGAACATAAACATACACAAACACAGAGGACTAGGGGAGAGAGGGAAGGAGAGTGAGAGGGAGAGGTAGATAGAGAGGGAGGGATGGAGGGAGAGGTATATAGAGATGGAGAGGGAGAGGGGGCGAGAGAGAGGAGGGAGGAGGGAGGAGAGAGGAGAGAGGAGAGAGGAGAGAGAGGAGAGAGGAGAGAGAAGAGAGAAGAGAGAAGAGAGAAGAGAGAAGAGAGAAGAGAGGAGAGAGGAGAGAGGAGAGAGGAGAGAGGAGAGAGAAGAGAGGAGAGAGGAGAGAGGAGAGAGGAGAGAGGAGAGAGGAGAGAGGAGAGAGGAGAGAGGAGAGAGAAGAGAGGAGAGAGAAGAGAGAAGAGAGAAGAGAGAAGAGAGAAGAGAGAAGAGAGAAGAGAAAGAGAAAGAGAAAGAGAAAGAGAAAGAGAAAGAGAGGAGAGAGAATAGAGAGAAGAGAGAGAAGAGAGAGAAGAGAGAGAAGAGAGAGAAGAGAGAGAAGAGAGAGAAGAGAGAGAAGAGAGAGAAGAGAGAGAAGAGAAGACAAGAGAAGGCAAGAGAATATAGAAAACTGAGAAATTGTAATATAAATGAAAAAAGAAAAACATGGGAGGTATGTACGGGAATATTCTATAAACTAACATCCGCATGACCTACGTGTGAAAGCCACTTGAACAGAACATGAAACCCTTATTAATAGGGAGCGCATCAGTCCTTATTGCTGAGACATGACGTCCGCCGAGCCGAGTGACCTGCTGCCAAGCACGCTCGTCAGCATTAAGGCTCTCATGCCCCTCGCGGCTGTCAACAATCCACACGCCACTCCCGACAATACCCAATGTAAGCAACAAACACACATGAAAACGTACACACACACATTCACTCATTCACACACACAAACAAATTCATTCACTCATTCACTCACTCACTAACCCACCCACCCACACCCACACAGACACACACACACCCACGCACACGCACACACACACATTCTTACCCTTAGACTTACACTTGTACTCATCTCTGCGCACACATCTGCACACAGCATAAATGCGGACGACAGAAAACAGCAAGACCAGCCCCAGACGCAAGGCATGAGGGCAAGGATCCGGGGGCGAGTGACAGCGACCAGAATGGATGATGGAAGGAGAGGTGGTATCGAGCAGGGACATGAGCGGACGCGATAGGATACAAGGATAAAACGTATTAGGAATATGAAAATAAAACAAAAAAGATGGTCCACCAGACTGTAAACTATATAACGAATCGGGAACAAGTTGACGAGGAAACGTTACATCGTTGCCGTCAGCCCCTAACAGATCAAACACACAATCACCAATACCGAGATAAAAATAAACTTGTGCAACGAATGCATAAGCCCGGCTTCAGCAGAACTGATATGACATAACCACAATCACTGCCCCAGCCACCTGCAACCTCCCCCTCCACAAAACATGCGGGAGGAGGCAGGGGAGGCGGAGTGGGGGTATTAAGGGAACTTGTTTTAAGGTGGGGCGACGAGAGGGCAGGGTAAGGGGGGGGGGGCAGACGGAGTCACTGGTTCGCAATCGAGAGGGACAAGTGCTCTTCTCCACCTCTCCCTCCTCCACCCCCACCCCCCTTCGACGTCATTCTCCTCGGCCTTTCCTGCGGATTTTTTTTATTACATCTCGTCTCCGTTTTCCTCTTCCACTTCATTTCGCCATCCTTCTCCTTCTACAATTCTAATAAGGATGCTGCCGAGTATCTGCAATTATTTATAGACTCGGTCATTCTGCGACCATTATCCTGAATTTCAATCCTTTTATGACAGGGAAAAACAAGTACAAGTTACTGGCATTTGACAAAAAAACACATTTGCGTTAAATATGTATAGAATATCATCAAACTCGGAGCCGAAGTCACATCTTCAATCTTTTCTAGGTATGTATCACTACAGGGTCACCGTGCATTCAACACGCCCCTATCAGTATTCATATACAGGTCACTGATAACTGACAAGAATTACTATCGCTTCCATATAAGAAATTTACACAAGTAAATAACGATAACTTAAGTACAAACATAAATAAATACTACGAAAGATTAGAATAAGTTTCCCGTCCCGGCGCAGCTCCCCTCCCAGGCCATTTTAATGCGGTAATAAGTAATAATCAGTCACGAACTCACGACATCTAAATGCCAAACTTAAAAGGAGGCCGCTGATTCTTATTAACCTGTTTCTGGCAGTGAATAATGGAAAAGAGAAATTCAAACAAAATGTATATATAAAAATATCATCTGCTCTCTTTTGGTCATGAGTTCAGCCGAAACGTTCAGGCAGCAGTACACGTGAACGTTCTGCGAGTTCTCTGGTCGCAGCGGGGCCACGAGAGGAGGGGGGGGGAGGGAACACAATACCCAGCCCCGCCAAGACGGACTCATTAAGCTCCTCTTTTGACCTTCCTCAAAAGGCCCTCCTCCACGCCGTGGGTTTTAGCTTTTTTCTCCCCCAGGTAGGCCTACATTAGCCTTTAAAAATATATATTTTACAAATCCTGCCCGCTGCATCCTCACCGCGAACGCCCACGCCCACGGAACGTTGTCCGCGGAGCCGAGAGCGCAAAAAGAAGCCGTAGATGTGAAAAAGAGGCAAATCGGCCGCCTTCCTACCTGTGCGAGGCCGCCCGAGGCGATCTCTCGCTCCCTCTCTTTTAAACGCCTATTTACTCTTCTCTCGCCACTTCGACGGGGATTTAACGCCCTAATTCGCACTACTTGCATTAATTGACAACATTCGCCGCCGGAAAAGCGAGCGTCCACGGCCGAAAGGAGGAAAATGTGACAGGTGATGTTACTCACTTTGTTCAGGACAGGTAAGCAGCGCCTCGTCACAGCGACTTCAAATCCCCGTAACTTTTCTCTTTTTCTTTCGCCACTTCCTTTTTAAAAAACGACCACACTCTGCATTTACGTCATTGTATCTTTCACTCACTCGAAATATTTCACACAAATCACTTCAAATCACAGGACTTATTCTCGGAGCGGCCACAGATATACACGACGAGAAGGAGCGACGCCTTCCTCTCACGAG